ATTACAGTGAATGAATGAAGAACAAAAGAATGAATGAAGGGACTGCTAAATGGTCACCAGGCACTGAGGTCAAACTGATCAGGATAGAAAAAATATCCCATTTGCTTTCCAAGGGTCATTTTTTTTTCCCATAAAAATGAGAATTCTCAAAAAAAGAATCGACACTAAATATTTATTTGCCTTTTGCAAAGAGAAAAAAAAAGTCTACAGCACATATCAAAAGTTCAGCGAGTCTAGCAGAACTCCAGCAGCACCTGGGCCTTCCAAACAAGAGCACGTAACCCCTCTTTGGAACCTCATAGCCTCCCAGGCAGATATAGGACTAAAGTGAAACCATGTGCATAGGCCATCTGGTGCAGTGAGAAGAAGAACACATCCAGGAGACAAGATTTCTCAAATTCAACAAGAGCTCAGTCAGAAACTGCGTGATCTACACCTTCATGGGTCTCAGTTTCCCCGTTTGTAAAAAGAGGGAATTAATTAATTTAGCAAGCACTTAAAAAGGCTTTAACTAGATGCCTGGCGCCAGGGTTGGTCTAAATGATCTCAAAGGTCCCTTCCAGCTCTGAAAATCTTATACGTCTTATAGTCACACTTAGGAGACGTTCTTTTGGCTCTGACCTGAAAATCTGGCTGGAAACATAAACAGACTTCTACATAAAAACACACATTTACCAGCTATAATTTGGACTTGGCAACAGGAGGTTTCACCATGGCTGAGAGGAAAAAGTACAAAATTGTATCCAGTGAGTATTATTACTTCAGACTACATTATAGCTCATCTCATATCTAACGGGGGTGCAGATATGGCCAGAGCGGGGCCAAGTCACTATCACATCACGTGCCTGTTTTCTTTTGAACTCGCCAACAGTCTTCCATATATATTCAAAAGAACACGCCTCTCCCTAGCAGATTTGTCCTTTTCCATTTGGCAAACGCTATTTTATTTTTCATCCTTCTTCCTTCTGTTTTGCAGAGAACATAAGCCAACATGGCAACAGGCTTTTTGTTTATTTCCTTCCTTTTTAAAAACAAAGTCATGGTTTCAGAATAGTTATCATGACAAGGTGCATACAGAAAAAAGACTTTTTGTAATTTTAGGAAAGCTTCATGTTTGAATTTTTATTAATGAAACCCTTTGCCAAAGCCTTGTTATTATTCTTGCTGTTGTTATTTTTATATAGTAATCATTATAACATCAAAATATATCTTAGCTATTATAGTTTAGCAATTTCAAATCCATCTGTATTTCATTTAATTATTAAAGGTAGATCCAGTTACCTTATTTATAATCATGAGGAAACTGGGACTTAGTGTGACCGGCTGAAAAAAAAATCACACAACTAGAATAAGCTGCTCAACTGGTATTCAAACACAAGTCTTCTGTCACAAAGTCAAACAGACTTTTTAGAAATAAAGATTTTAAATGCAATAGTTTCTATAATGATCCCAGAGAGAAGTTAGATAGGCTTAATAAACCTTTTAATTGTGTAAATTAAACAACATGCAAAGAATCAACCCCAACAAAATAAGAGCAAAGTACATAAAAGGCAAACTTTACATTTTTCTTCATTTTAATAAAAACAATTACTAAAAATAAAGAAAATTGATCATATTATTTTTATTTGCAAAGGGATCTTTTGGTTGCATAAAATAAATATAAATGTCGTAAGACTACTATCCATGGCTGGCATCTGAGATCTGTTTTTACTAGCTTACAGCAAGATAAAAATGTAGGGAATTTGTGACATACATATATTTAAGACCGAAAATTTGTAATAGCCTTTCAAAGATCTAGCCTTCAAACTGAATTGGAGCGCTTACTGGTTATAACTGGAACTTAATAATTTCAACTGATCAAAAAAAAAAAGAAAGAAAGAAAGAAAGAAAACGCACACACACTAAAAGCTTCCTGTATTTCTCAAGATCTACTCTATGAAACCATGCTCCCCCAAGAAACCCACATGGCTCACCCTCCCCACCCTGCCCCTGTCCTCCTCCAAGTCTTTGTCAGGACTCACCTGCTCAGGGAGGTCTGGTTGACCATGCCCATCCTGGGGAGGCCTTATCCTTTACTCTTTCCTCGATCCATAGCGCTGATCTCATTCTTACATACTTTACAATGTCTATGTTTTATTTACTTCACCTATTGGGTTGTTGGAAAAGTCATGACGTAGTTTTTCTATGTTTTTCATTGCAAAATGCGTCACGACTTTTCTGACAACCCAAAAGTCTCACTAACATAAAGTAGCGTGTGGGGAGAACCCTGTCTGTCTTTTGGCTGAAGAATCCCTGGTGTGATAAGAGTGCTCACACTGGAGCACAGAATATAATTTGAATGAATGAATCATTTCTTCCTCTGTCTTCCTCAGCCCAAAATTAAGGAGGAAAAAATCCAGACAATGGACTGAACTATTTAAGTGGTTATTTCCTATGGCTTTTCCTCTTTAAAACTTATTACGTGAAATTATAAACATATAAAGATAGANAGAAAAAGTTTATCTCTTTAAATAAATTTTTAAAAAATAAGGAAGAGAAACTATGGCATTCCATGAAAAGGGCTCAAGTTGCTAAATGAAACACTGGAATAGTCCCTATCGGCTCTAGGCTTGCTACTTTCAAAGAAGTTTCTACAAGTCTAGACACTAAAAATACTTCTCTCTTCTCAAATGAATACCCAATAAGACGATGATTCAGAACAAAAGACAAACAGGAAAACTTTGACATTCGCTTCTAGAAAGTCACATTGACCAGAACCAGCCACATGCCTAAGAACCCACCAGCGCTGCTAAACATACACTGACCTACATATGCGGACCATAAAAGGAGGAGATAATCACCCAGCAAGCTGCTGCTGCTGCTGTTGCCACGGTCACAAACAACCCAACAAGGCAACTAGGGTTTGCTAACCCAACGCCCAAGGGAACAGGGCAAAGGGCCAGGAAGAAATAAGCATCTCAATCACTCCTTTGGTATGTTTTCATGGATCAAGATCCGCTTGTATTCTCACTGCACAGAAAGGACAAGCGCTTCAGAGTGGAATGAATCAAGCTTTTACTGACCATTTTGGCTTTGCTCTGGCGATCCTGCACACTCCCTCCCCTCTGAGCCTTATAGCCTGGATCTGCTTTGCTCTTACCCAGACTCCTCTTTCCTCACCGCACTCCCAGGCGCAGAACGGATGCCCTCTATAATAGGATATGCCCACACCATTGAAAAAAGGTCCTGCTGCTTATTTCTATGTGTTCATGGATGAACGTGGTCATGGCTGTGGGCCTGAGTTCTTTGCGTCTACCAAAAAGATTCTGTCATTCAATACCTGTGACCAGGATAGTGCTCAACTAAGGGTCACAAGACACAGATTCCAGTGGCAGTTCTACTGAAACTTCAATCGGTGTTTAAGTCATCATTGATAAGTGAAAGACATAAAATAGGTAAGTGGATAAATGACTATAATCCCCAATTCACCCTACACTTGTATGAGCTTGAAATTGTTTTCACGAGAATAGAAATGAGTTGGCCAACAAATTTTTGGAGACTGATTTGAAGCAAGACGGTAAATGACTGCAGAAGTTTCTCTTCTTTCTTCTCTTTTTAACTAAGTCTGGGCATTTCCCTAAGTCCAGGGCATAGCTGACGTGACACTGTTCTCACTCTCTCCTCAGAAAAGTCACCTCTCTCAGTAGCTTTATTCATCAACTCCTTAGGGCAGACAGCATCTATGTCTCTCCTAGCTTGACAGCTCCTTTGAACGTGTATCATTTTCTAAGAGAGTAGGAAGAAAATCAGAGCGAGGAAATTGTAAAGGAACAAATTTCAGTTCTGTAAGAGAAAAAAAAAATCGCATGTGGAGTAACCAGAGATGGACAAAACAGCCTATTTTCTGAGGTGGATGGATGGGAGTTACAGTAACAAACGTGGCCATCCTGCCTGAACGAACAGAAGAGGAGACATGAAAACTGAAAGTGTAAAATCACTGGATAGTAGGCATGTAAAAGCAAGCCACAGGACTGAGTCACATNTTCAGCCAATCTGGGGCGAGGCCTGAGACTCTGCGTTTCTAACATGCTCCCAGATGCTGCTGCTGGAGATCCGCGGATGCCACATGGAGCCGCATGGCTCTAGGGCTCTTCCAGCTGGCAGCTGTTGGTTCTCCAACTTTCTTATGTGGAGAATTTTTGGTTGTTTCAGGAAAACCTGAACTTTAAGGTAAGTGTAAATAAAATGACTTATGGGCTCCTCAAATTAAGAATTTAAATAATGAGCACACACGAAATGGGGTTGGAACACACACACACACACACACACACACACACACACACAGGTGAAAAATTAATAATAACTAATGGAGAAAGGAAATATATTTGAAAGAAAATAATACAAAACTTAAAGCTCAAACACTTAAAACACAAATGCCAGCTCTACCCTGTACTTCGGAAAAGGCCATGCCACCATCTCAGGTTCAATTGTACCCCACCCATTAAATGAGGATAACGATA